TATATTCTGATACCTGTGAGTCTTCTGGTCTGGAATAGCAGGTAAACCTTGAGGATTTGGTTACTGCAGCCCCTTTTGCTTGCTGGCCAGTGCTGTTTGCTGACTTTTTGCCTTTGAGGTCTTGCTGTGTTGCTCTGTGGTAGCTCTTTCAGTTATTTATGATATATATATCCAGTTATTATTATTTGCAGTTATTTCAGAAAAGCGAGTAGAGTTTGATGCCAGTGTCATCTTTTTGTACAAAATGCTTCTCAAAGTAGCATCAGTTGCCATCAGTTTCAAACTACCATAATAGTTCACTTTTCCAGATAAGTAGCTGTTGTCATAGAGCTAATGTTCAAAGTCCGCTGTAAATGTAAAAGATGGTCCTTTAAGTGGGAGCTGGACAAAGGTGAGCAAGGTGGTGAGGACAGGGAGAATACACCATAGAGTGGTTCATGTAGATGTGGAGTGGTCTTTGAAGTACTAACATGCTCGTGGATGGCTGTTAGCATTGAACTGATGTGTTGGACAAAACCTGCCCTACTCTCACTGCAGTTCTGCTACAGCCACAGTCATCGCGTCAGTTTAGGGACCACCACGTAGTGGCGTGGTGGTGATGGGTCGATGACTGGAATAGATGATCCTAGTGGTCTTTTCCAATCTTAATATTTCTATGAATTGAGATTTATGTGAGCTGTTATTGACTGTGTCGATGCCCCATAGAAGCAACTCACCCATATGGGTTTATGAAGGTAAACAGGCAGATGAGTTGCAGGTATCTGCTGGACATGGTGAACCTGGTTGTCTACTGTTCAGAAGACACAGAGGATTTGAGTTCAGAAGATTCAGAAGATTGTTTAAATGTGCTACTTTCGTGAGTTGTTGAGGAGGTTTGGGCTATCAGATTTGTTGGATAGTTGAATAGTACTTCAGATCTCCAGTGGGCATACTTGAATGAGGAAGTCTTCGAAAACGTTGACACCAGTTTGCGTACGTCCAAGATGTCCAGCTGACTGCAAAAATGTTGAAGACAGAGTACTTCCTCGAGGCATTTGACAAATATCCCATTTTCTTTACAGTGCAAGTTGGGTAGGCTGTATTTGTGGTCTGTGAACTCCACTGATTGGGAAGATCTCTGAGAACTTCACTTTCTATACATATATATCTGTATCATATAGATAGATAGATATACACACATACGTATGTATGTGTGTATATATTTATCCCAAATGAAGTAGGAAGGCTTTTTTTCTCTGTTCTTTCTGAAGTAGGTTATTTTGTGGTGCTTTTCAAGTATGCTGTGTGACTGATCTTTTCCTGAGGCGTTTTCTCTGTTAAGAGGCTGCTATGCAAATCTGGGAAGCGGGCTTGGAAAGGCACCGTAGTCGTCTGTTTTTCACCTCTCTTGCTTTTAGATGATAGGGTAGAAAGCAGTAATTTCAAGTTCTCCCCACCCGATGACATCTTCTGTGTGGTGGTATCTGTAATCTAAATACAGCGAATGAAATACTAAGCATTATCCTTTTATATGGGAATTTTGACACTTATTCTCCACTGCCTTTAAATCTTGACCCAGTTTTAGTTTTAGCTTTTTTAATTATTATTTTCCTCTGAACTGTAAACCTTCAGTGCCTTACAGAGCTATAGAATTACTACTAGATTTGCTCACCTGTGCAAGTCTGAAAAACTAGCTTCTCTACCCAAGGACTGCATGTGTATGCCCTTGAAAGCTCTTTTTGTAGCAGTGTATTGAAAGAGAAGGAACATGCATTGTGGACTAGAACATGCCTGACTGCTTTACTAGGACTGTGTGAGCCACTGCTTGCTCTGCAGAACACAGAGGGCTTAAGTGGCACTTGGTGTGCTCTGGACTGCCAAGTGAATGATTTGTTATTTAAGGCAGGGGTTTCCAGTTCAGATGAGGAGTGGGCTATTGAGGACCTCGGTATGTTTCTGCCTTCTCATAGCTTATCTGAACTGCCTTTGGTTTGCTGCTGGCTGGCAAGCACTTACTGAGGTTGCTCAATGTGCACGTTGTCTGGCTGGCAGCACCCTTCTCTTATTTCCTGAACAGCAGCATGTTGTACAAACCTATTTTTAAAAAGTTTTCAGAACTGAGGTTTGTGCGTGGTACATTGCTCTGTGTCCCTCCAGGAGTGGAGTGCAGTGGCTGGGTGTCACTGGTGTGTTGTCTTCCTGTGCACAGAGGACAGAGGTGGGTCACAGGTGCAAGAGGAGAGGTTGTCAGATGCATTCTGCTCTAGTTCCCATTCAGCTGATGCGTCCTTTCTCTGCCATGTCTTAAACTGAGTGGAAGAGGCTTTGCTTTGGGAAGGGTTGTGAATAGAAGGTAGTGGGGTGTTCCTGCTGGCTTATGCTCTGTAAAGATATCAAGGGAAAGAGTGGTGACCAAGCATGCCAAAGATGCCTCTGCAACTTAGTGTGTAACAGATATCTCCCGATTGTGTGTTCGTCATCATCTGGGCTCAATGTAAAGAATGTACTGCTCTGTCTTCAATTTTCTTGTAACAGAAGGCACTCTTCACTTGAGCATGGTTTGAATCATAACTGTCAATGAGTGAAGGCTGCTGATCTGAAGAGCTGAAGTCGTGCAAAGAAGGGATTTGTCAGCTCTCAGTTCTAAGCTGCCCTTTGTGGTTTGCATACTTTTGAAATGGTGATTTTCTTTTACTGTGGTTTTAGCTTTTAAAAATGAAAAAGCAAATGGCACTGCAGCAGGCTACAGTAAAGCTTAGGAGGTCTCAGGAGGACTGTTAGAGCCATACAGAGAGGCCTTGGAAATGGAAGTAGCATGAAAGGGTTCTTAAGGGAGTGTCAAAATTAGTATTTGTTGTGTGGAGTAGCATTGTTTGTATCTTCTGTGGACAGTTTTGTACAGTGGAAAAAGTACTGCAGAGCACTTTTCATCTCCAATGTTTCTTAGCCTTTCAGTATCTGATGGCTTCAAGAAAATTATATGAAGTAAAATTACCGAAGGATTTTGTAGGTATTGACTTGGAGCAAAGGCCTCAGTACTTGCACAAGCAAAGGAATGGAGCTTGGACTAAATTGCATAAAAGGACTTGTTCCTTATTGGTTAATCTGTTGAGAAGACTCTTTGATTTCCTTAGGTAAAGCTTGAAAGGCTTTTGTTTAGTTTTCCCCACTTGCCCCATGCATTTCATCACCTTCAAACTGCTTGAATAGGGCTTTAAGAAACACAGTTTTAAAGGAACAAGCACTAAGTGTGACGTTAATAGAGTTTCTAAAGTTTCTTTAGGAGGATGTCAATATTTTGTTTTAGGAGCAAGTGAAATCAGGAATAAATGTGTGAATGTTTCCAGGTGAAAGAATTTTAACTGCATTTTCCAGGGCAGTGAAACCCACTGGGGTTTAGGGCTTCTGCTGAGAAGCTCTAAGGGCAGCTCTTGTTCTGCTGCTTTTCTGCTCAGACGCATTTTTCTTTGGCAGGGCAATGGGGAAGACAGGATGCTGGGCAAGATTTGTTCTCTCCTTACTCCCCTGACCCCAATGCTCTTGGACAGTTCACCTCCTCCCTCTTCTGCCATCACCCTTGCCGCAGGCCTGTCTTGCTGTGATCAAGTGTGCTCGTGTATCCTTGCAGCTTTTAGCATGACAGAGCTCTTCTGTCATCCACAACCTTGCATGGCAATGAAATTGGTCCTGTATCTGACTTAATAGGCATTCTTCATTACCTGTTTCAACTGAAGGTCTTTGTTCCCACTGGCTGAAACGTCCTTTTGATTTGGCCAGTAGAGCCTGTTAAATGGCACTGGTTGACCACCTCTACCAAGAACATCAGGGAGTGATCTGTGATGGAGGTCATAGTGGTGGTCCAGGGGCTGCTGCTCAGCTTGCTGACACTTGCTTCTAGCTGCTGTACATGAGAGGAAAGCTCCTAGAGGCCTGTGGTGTGGGTGGTCATTGGCCCATGCATATGATGCCTTAGGGAGGAGGAAGCACTCAGCAGAGGGATGGGCTGGAAAGGAGGCAGGGGCCTGGCTTCTGGAAACAAAGGCAACCCTAGTCCATTGGGCTGAACCTCCTTTTTGTGATGAGGTCCAGGACTAATTTTTTTTTTTGGATGTGCAGGTCCAGGATGTTGGAACTGGGGGAATGACGCTTAGGAGGTTTTGCTTTGAAGCAGTGATATACTCTGCACAGTTTTTGCATGCCTTCAGAAGAACTAGGTCAACCTTTCTCACAGCGCAAGTGATTAGCTTTCCACATTATGCTTACATTGCCCTCGTCAACCTCTCGGTCTGCACTCCCAACTGAGCAGAGGCTGTCTTGTCACCAAAAGTTTGGGAACATCCCAATTCAACATCATCTTCCATGGGCTGGAGTAGAGGAGGCAGAAGGTCAAGTGATTTGTCATTGACAGGGTTCGTTGGACCTGAAGAGAGACTGCAAACTCCTGAGGTAATAGAGGAAGGAAGGCATGGCTCTTCTCAAGCTTTAGTTGCTTTCTCTCTGCTTTGTGTGCACTACTCCAGTGATGTCTGGGAGGCAGATGGCCATTTGCTTCTCCCCACTCCCATTCGTAGTCCTGGTTTGATTGCTACTTTAGTCTTGCTCTGGATCATCCAGGGCTCCCTTCAGTTCTGCTGGAGGTTTTAAATATTCAGTTTCTCCTCTCACTTTCCTCAGGTGACAAAATACAGCCATGATATACCGTGGATTTATGGAAAAGTTAAATCTAGATGCTAGTTTACTTTAGTGCTTCCTCAGCAGATCTTTCCAGGAAAGAGCCCTTCTCCATGTGAAATGCTGGAGCTGGGGAAGTGTGTACAAATGTTGGGTGGTTATCCCTGGAATTCTTAATTGGTAGCATTTAGCTAATGGAATAGCTGGTAAACTGATTAGTTCCTCCAACTTTCTATAGTTTGACCTAGGTCAGTATTTTGATGAAGTTTTTTTTTTTTTTTTTGAAAGTTTTTCCTGAAAAGAGGGAAAACTGAAAAATGCTCAATTTTTTCCCCTTACTTTCCCACCAGGCTTTACCTCATATAATGGAGGAGGGATGAACGGTGCAAGCAAAATGATGGATTTTCTGGAGGAACCACTTCCCGGTGTGGGGACCTATGAAGATTTTAACACTATAGATTGGGTGCGAGAGAAGTCCAGGGATCGGGACAGACACAGAGAGGTAATACTGTTTTACTCCTCCTCCTCAGCACTTGAGGCCGAAGAATTGACTTGCTTGGAACTAATCTTAGTTCTGATGATGTTACTAGGGAGCCATTTGCAAGAGAAATATCTAGGGTGGGAGTTTCCTTACACCATATCAAATTTGCTCAATTCTGAAGCATGGCAAAGCCTGTAGTTGTACTTATGGAAGGTGTATGCATTATTTGGAAGAATTATATTACTTTTACGTGGATTATATGGAAGAACATAAGCACCTATGATCCTGCTATGCACAGTGCTATTGATAAAGAAACGGGATACTCTTCTGAATGATGCTTTTCTTACTGAAATTTGTGCTGCATGGTTGAAAAAGCTGGAACAAATTCTGCTTCTGGGACTTCAGTGCTGTCAGCAGTTAAAGGGATCTGCTTAGAAAGCAAGGGATGTTTTAAATAAAGTACCAGTGTCCCTAACATGCTCTTGGTTCATGAGAAGCTCTTGCTGGTGGAGTTCTTGGAGAGTGTTGACTGAACTAAACTTGTCTATTTACTTGCCAGAATATTCTTTAACGTTTTATTTTTGAGCCTTACAAAGCAACTTGTGATTTAAGTAAGAACAGTACACAAGCTGAACTCAATCCTTGCTGCTCTGTGTGTGGGAATACAATGTAATGTCATCACTTGTGCAAGTACACGCCCAACTAAGAGGCTCCATGCCCAGTTGTTGCCACTCACCCCCCCTAAATGTTCCTTTCTATGCATTCTGAGTACAAACCCCAACATTTTTTCACACGTACGCACACGGAGACATATGCAAAAACAATGAATGTGAGTTTGTAACAGGACAATCTATTTCCTATTTACAGAAAGACATGTAGATAGGAAAATTTTAAGAAATTGAAATTGGGTAAAGCTAGAAAATACTGCTGGCCAAAGAGATGTACATTGGTCACATAAAAACCTTTATCAGGGCAGTAGTTTTGTCTACTACTTCAGTCCTCACCTTCATTCAGTAGCTATGGTGCTGATGAACAGTGTAGCATTTGAAAGACAAAATGTAGAGGGAAAAAAAAGGAGGAAAATCATTGAGAAAGAAAGGATTCTTTCTCATTTTAGTGAGGACTTGTTGTTTTCCTCAATGTGCCTTTTCATTTGGGAATAATGATGGTGTACTGGAATGCTCGTGTTGTGAAAGGAGCTGGGGCAGCGGGCACACAGTAGCTGTTGCTTGCCTCTTTGTGCTGCTGTCAGGCACAGTCAGACTGACAGGGCTGGCAGGCTGCAGCCATCCTTGTCTGTTGCAGGCAAACCCAGCCAGAGCCTCCGAGGAACTCGCTGTACTGCGGTATCTGGGGTCTGAGGACAGCTCCAAGTCCAGCTTTCAAATGCAATCAATGCTTCTTTCTTCTAGAGCTCATAAGTCATTACCAAACTCTGTTGGTTTTCAGCCTGCAAATAGATAATTCTACTACTCCTTACAGATATTGAGGGAGCAGCTGGAAACCATGAAAAAGTTGGTCACAACTGCTTTCTCAGTTGATGAGATATCAATACCACAAGGCAGCACAGAGAAGTTGCTGGGGGCAAAGTGCTCGGGGGGCCCCATAAGCATTCTGATTTGCCTGTGGCATCAAGCCAGTAGCAACTTGATACTGCTACAGGGATGCTCTCACTAACAGTGTCACCATGTGCATCTCAGAGAGCTTACACCAAAATAGATCAGTGTCTCAACTGATTGTTTTTTTTCTTATTTGATAACCTTTTTTTCTAGATTACCAGCAAAAGTAAAGAGTCAACGTGGGCCCTGATACACAGTGTGAGCGATGCCTTTTCTGGCTGGTTGTTGATGCTGTTCATTGGGTTGCTGGCAGGTAAGAACAAACCTTAATTTTAAACATCGATTCCTTGCATCAACTCTGATATATTATTAGAACAGCAAAATTTGTCCCAGAAACAAGGGCTGAGGAACTGCACTGATGCTTGTCTCTCTGCTACTGCTTTGTGATTTAAGGAGAATTATTTCTAAATGCTCTGAGGTCCTATTTGTGTAAACGCCAAGATAACAAAACTCAGACTGAAAGCTGTCCTGGGCACTGTTCTTCGTTTGCTGCTGGTACACTGCTCTGAAATAGACTGGATCAGAGGGAAGTGTTAGGATGTAAATAATCTTGGAATGCTTTTTATTAACACTGGAGGGGCTGATGCCAAGGAATGCTAACAAGATTCTCTTTTGTCCTCCTCACTCTTCATGAGAATAAAGGGTAAGAGATGTTTCTTGCGAAGTCAGGTTTTTTTCAGCAGTTGACTGACCGAACTCTTTAAATTAGTTCAGAAGGAAACTTTGAACCCAAGAGTAAAAGATATAGATCAGCTGGATGCAGATCTTGGTAGAAGGCAGCTAAACCTTCAATGTGAGGGATGATATTAAATCTTCTGTTAATATTTACATAGAAAAGCTGCTGGCGAGTTTTTCATTAACTGGAAGATATGCCAAATGTTATCTCTGGAGCCTATACTGGGATTTACTGCTACAGATCAGAGGTCTGTATTCCTGGCCTCTGTGTTGATGTGGCATTTTACCTAAGAACTGAGATGATGACGCTTTTTGCCTTGGGGATGCTGTAGGAGTTATTCTTAATAGAAAAACAAAAAATTACTTGAAGCTTCCTCTTATAAAATAAAAATTACTTTCCTTACTGACTCTGGTTTTTTTGTTTTTAATTGGGATTGGAAATGTTCTCTTCAAATTCAGTTATTCCTTGTCCAGCCTTAGCACTGTTACTATAACTTGTGGATCCCAGCTCTTGTGCTGGAGACCAGTGACATGTTTTATGTTCTCCAGGAACATGATAAGACCAATTCCTCCAACTAATTTTCATGCTATATTTAATTCCATGTAATTGAGATTAATTAGTTTCTAGCGCAACTTAGAATGATTTTTACTGCAAGTATGGTTAACCTTGGAAATATTGTTAACTGTGCTTCATTGTGTGACCTTCTTTTCAGTGTAGACTTAAGCAAATCCTTCCTTTAGCTCTGTAAAGAGTAATAATAGAATAAAAGATAATTGTAGGCAAAAATAACAGTGCTGCTCTATTTAATGGTAGGTAAGTCAAAATAGAGACAGAGTAAAACAAAACAGAGACTTTCAGATATCTGAGTCTGCATCATATGCTTACTATTAAATTTTCATTTATTCTGAACTAGGTTCCTTAGCAGGTCTAATAGACATTTCTGCCCACTGGATGACAGACTTGAAAGAAGGAGTGTGTTTAGCAGGCTTCTGGTTTAACCACGAGCACTGCTGCTGGAAGTCCAACACAACCTTTACAGACAGAGACAAGTGCCCTGAGTGGATGAGCTGGTCGCAGCTTATTATTGGCCATGGAGAGGTAATGTGTGCCTAGAAATGCTTGCAGTGCTGAATATTCCATTTCCAGCCTGCGTTGTCTTGGTATGTTCTGTATGTATGTTCTAGAAGTGCAAATTAGGTTTTTCACTGGTTTAGCTTTGAATTTTGTGGTTTTTCAGTAAGCAGGTTACGTGTTGTCCTCATTGGGGCGTCAAAACATTGACACATTGACAAGTGCACTGCTTTAGTTGTTTGAAACTTGCTGCTTGGAGGATATTTTTCCCATGACCATTTTAAAGGACTGCCAGACAAACTCAAATCTTGTGTTACTAGCAGCACTATCAAGTAGAGCAAGCCATCTTGACTGGGAGTGTTTGTGTACCTTGTTTGCCATTTCATATAATGGCTTTTGGAAATATTGTTGGCTCCCAGTCCTCTAATTCAGCATATGCAACTTGTCCTTGAAACTGCAGGCTTACTGCAATTCGTTTTGATCTGATGATAACTGTATTTGAGGTTACCTGCTATTTCTGTGTGCTTGCTTCAGAGCCCTGGTTTGATGAAAGCTTAATTGAATTTGGTTAACTTTCTCTGCATTTCAGGGAGCTTTTGCATATATTCTCAACTACTTCATGTATGTTATCTGGGCTCTGTTATTCTCCCTTCTTGCTGTGTTACTTGTGAAAGGCTTTGCTCCTTATGCCTGTGGCTCAGGAATCCCAGAGGTGAGTGAGAGTGAAGGTGTGGGTTTTTTTTTTTTTTTTTTTGGTATGTGTTTGATGTGTTGGATTTTTGTTTGTTTTTAAGGTGGGATAATTGAAAGATTACATTTGCCTGCTATGTAACTGTACTTACATCAAGTCACCATATGTTTCTAGTATATATGTTTTTTTTTCCAAACTTTGTTACTGAAACATGTCTGGTTCTAAGTCTCCATATGATCTCTTTAAAAAATGAAATAAATTTACTGAAAGTAAATGCCAACATTTACTACAGAAGGTACAAACAAAAGTGCGCTGTTTGTGGAAGACAGAAAAGCAGCATCAAGTTATTTTTTGCTAGGAAAAGCAGCCCTGAAGGAAAGGCTGAAGGGCTATTTCTGTCGTTGCATTTTTCCTGACTGTGTTACCTTTGATAGCTGGGGAGGGAGGCACTCTGATAACTGTAGTGGAAAGCTAAGGCAGGACTGGCGCTGCCTATCAAACTGGGAGCTCTGACCAGGGCTTGAATGAAAGCCTGTAGAGCTCTGTGTGCTTGACTTCCAGATCAAAACTATCTTAAGTGGTTTCATCATTAGAGGCTACCTGGGCAAGTGGACGCTGATCATCAAAACCATTACCTTAGTGTTGGCGGTGTCCTCTGGCCTGAGCCTGGGAAAAGAGGGCCCCCTGGTGCACGTTGCCTGCTGCTGTGGAAACATCTTGTGCCATCTCTTCACCAAATACAGGAAGAACGAAGCGAAGCGAAGAGAGGTAAAGTGGTGCAGTGATATTTCATCAGGAAGGGTGAGATTGTAGTAGGGATGTAGACACAGCAGAAATGTTTAATGCTTTCGTTTCCTCTGTCTTCAATGCTGATGATGGGCTTTGGGACCACTGGAGCTCTGAGTTGGATGGCTGTGATTGCAGTAATGATAAATTCCAGCCAGCTCTGAGCAGCAGGATGCATATAAGTCTATGAGGACTGATGGGGTTTATCGGCCTGTACTCAAAATGCTGGTTGATATTCACTGTAAGACTCTCAATTACTTTCCAGTCATCTTGGGATTGTGGAAAAGTGTCAGTTGACTGGAGGTTGCAAATGTTTTCCCAGTTTTCAAGAAGGGCAACAAAGATGATACTGCTAATTGAAGATTTGTCAGTCTCACTTTGGTGCCTGGCAAAATAATGGAGAAAATTGTTGTATGAATTAAAGAAAAAAAAAAAAAAACAAACCTAAAAGATGAAGCAGTCACTGGTTAGCAGACTTATTGTCCTTCTAGGGCAAGGTTTCCCATCTAGTTGACCAAGGGAAGCCAACTGATATCATACTTCTGGGTTTCGGCAAAACTTTTCATACTGTTTCTCACAGTGTCCTTCTGGACTAAATATACAGCATACAGCTCAACAAAAACATAATGTGATGGGTGAACAATTGATTGAGAAGTCAGAATGAAGGGGTCGTAGTTAATGGAATTAGAGCAGGCTGGTGGCTGTCATTAGTGGAGCTTTGCAGGCCAAGGCTCTCCATTGTTTTCATCAGTGACATGGGTGCAGGATATGAGGATGCACTAAGAAAATCTGTGGACAGCACTAATTTGGGAAGAACTGTTGACTCTATCAAAGGTATAAGGAGAACATAAAAATATTAGTTTTGTTTAACTAAAGCTTTATGTGAGGTGAAATCAGTGTGAAATCAGGTGAAACAGAATATGGTAATTGCAGTTGATGTTGGTTCCACTGATTTAGGAGTTGAATTGCTTAAATGCTAATTGTTTCTGGTTTTGTTTTAGCTACTTAGGAATTACAGGAGTTAGCTCACTCCATTTTTTCCCTCTTGTCTTTAAAACAGATCAGACAAACTTACTCTGTAGTGATTGCAGATTTATTTGTACTTTTTTTTTTCCTTAAGTAAAGACATCTAACAGAAAAGTGGAAAGTTTTTGATGGGGAGATTGAATATGTGTGACTGACTTGAGTTTTTCCTCACAGGTTTTATCAGCAGCTGCAGCTGCTGGTGTGTCTGTAGCTTTTGGTGCACCGATTGGAGGAGTGCTCTTTAGTCTGGAAGAGGTAACATCAGCATTTTCTATTAGCTCTTCACAAGCCGTTTTATTGCAAGAACTGACCCTGCTGATTTGAAAATACAGTCCATTCATAACTGCTTGGGTGTGGAAAGGAAACCCTGTTGAATACTGACTTGTGGTATATTTTAAGTCTGCCAATCAACCTAAACTTTACTGGGGATTCAGGTAATTCTTATGGGTGCTGGAGAACCTTATTTTGGATTATGTATTTCTCTAGCTTTGCAGTAAACCTGCTAGATTTCCCCAACCTGTTCATGCTCACCAACACTGCTCACAGCTACAGCCTCTCGTGTGTTCTGTATGTCCATATTCTGTTGTCAGCTCTATCACAGGCTGCCTCACAGCAAACTTATCTTGCTCATCAAACTGCTTTTCTTACCAATGAAGTTTTGATTCGTATTGTTTTGATTCAGACATAAAATACATAATCACTTCTGTCTTCAGGGTTTAACTAAGAGAAAGAATGGGATGGCTTTGCTCAGCTGAGCAATAGTTGTGGTAGCTGCTATGGCAAACACAATTGCTTAGCATTTCTGGACCTTGCAAGCATGGAAGACAAATACTCCTCCAAATTCAGCTTATAGCTTATAGCTTATCTGTATAAGTTTTCTCTGCTTAAGGGATCATAAAGAGCCTTTGCTACACTGAAAATGTGTGCAAACCAAGGTACATCCTGGTTGTTGTGATCTGTGTAGAAAGGAGCTCAAAATCAAATCTGGGATGCTCAGCTGAAGTAGAGGGTATGTATCCAGTGAACACCAGTCTCAGTCCTTGCTTTGTAGTTCATGCAATAGTGGGTTTGTTACGGGGCAACAATCAGTGTCCTGTCAAGTGGCAGAATCTGCTTTGTTTTCCTTTTTAGGTCAGTTACTATTTTCCTCTCAAGACGCTGTGGCGCTCCTTCTTTGCTGCTCTGGTAGCTGCATTTACTCTGCGCTCCATCAATCCTTTTGGGAACAGCCGCCTGGTTCTCTTCTACGTGGAGTTCCACATGCCATGGCATCTTCTGGAGCTTGTGCCATTCATCCTTTTGGGAATTTTTGGTGGGCTCTGGGGAGCTTTCTTCATTCGCAGCAACATTGCCTGGTGCAGGCGACGCAAGACAACCAAGCTTGGTAAATATCCTGTGCTCGAGGTGTTTGTAGTGACTGCCATCACAGCCATCCTGGCCTTCCCGAATGAGTACACCAGAATGAGCACCAGTGAGCTGATCTCTGAACTCTTCAATGACTGTGGGATTTTGGACTCTTCCAAGCTCTGCGAGTACGTGAATGATTTCAACAGCACCAAAGGGGATGACCTGCCAGACCGAGCTGCTGGCCCGGGAGTTTACACAGCCATGTGGCAGCTAGCTTTGGCCCTTATAATGAAAGTCTTCATCACAATCTTTACCTTTGGCATGAAGGTGAGAATTAGCTGTGAAAGATGTTTTTCTCATTCTGTGCAGAAACTCTGCTCCTCAGTAAATTGACTTTTTTTTCCCCCCGAGCCCTGTTAAAAGGGGGAAAAAAACACCTGTGCTTTTTGAGGGGTGATAGACTGCAGTTATTCTGTTGTTAGTAACTGAGGGCAATAGAAACCTTTTATCCTGTGTGTGACCGCTAGATCAAGCTGCTGGGTCATGGGAAAATCCTGTGTTCCAAACACCATATACTTCTAACTCGTCTCTCCTTAAGCCTTTTCGATACTTCTCCTGTATCCCTCCTTTCCTAATTGCAAAGTGACATGAAGCCAATGGAGTGGGAAAATCCTGTGGATTACATAAATAAGTACTCAAATACTCATGTAGTTGGAAAGGCATAAGGGAGTGTTGGTGGTGTTTTAGCCCACGCTAAACTGATGTATGGCTGTTTCTCCTGCTCTGAAAGATATACATCCAAATTCTGTTACAGAGGTCTTAGAACACATGGTGTTTCAGTAAGGACAGCATTTGGCACTCTCAGTGCTGTTGCTTGTTCAGTTCAAGGACACAAGGAGGCGTTCTCTCACCATTTTTTTGGTGCTGGACAAGCAGAAGTGATGGAGCATGGCATCCATACCAATTTTAACTTTAGTATAACCTCTAAATCGGTCTTGACTTAAGCTTTTGACTGTCACTAGCCTTGAACACTTTTTCCCTGAGAAATGGCATATTTCCTGATGTGTTTTTTCATAGGTCCCTTCGGGTCTCTTCATCCCAAGCATGGCAGTTGGTGCTATAGCAGGCAGGTTGTTAGGGGTAGCAATGGAGCAGTTGGCATTTTACCATCATGATTGGATCATCTTCAGTGGCTGGTGCAGTCAAGGAGCTGACTGTATCACTCCTGGCCTGTATGCCATGGTTGGGGCTGCAGCATGTCTAGGTAAGCAAGAGATGTCTCTTGAAGTCCTAGTGCAAGTTTGAATCTTGCTTGCCTATCTGAATGTGTAGTAGTGAAATGCTGATGATGTTCTTGTAGTCTGTGTTTAAAAACAGAAAACAACAGGAAAAACAAACAAAAAAATGGGCTCAATCTCAAGAACAGGGAACGTCATAGTCTAGTATCTAATATGTTTATCATCCTGTTTGCATTCTTTTACTAGCATCAATCTATCATTGGACATGATAAATTTCAGTGGGGAATCTCCTGAGTATGTAGCTAGAACAAGTGAGTCTGGCCAGGGGCTTGAGATTTCCATATAGGGAAACCTTGCTGTTAGGAAAATTAATGATAGCAAGCAGAGGATGTCAGGATGCTACTTGACCTTTGTGTATAGCTTGTCATAGAGATCATTTCATGAATCTCTTAATGGTTGTTATTTGTAAGGCCACTTTATGTCATGACCAGACTATTTTGCAGCTAGCTAAATTTCATGTTAAGTAACAGCAAATTGGCACTAGGAAATGTTTTGACATATTATATAGTCTTAAGAAGTAAGTTTAGAACAGATAAACCACATTGTTCACAGAGCTCTGTAATTCAGATGATGTGCAATCAGAGGACATGTGACACTGGGGTATGTCCTGTTACCTCAGTTGAAATTAACGTCATCTTTGGAGGATGGCTGTAGTAAATGTCAGGACAGCTTTCCTGGCTGTAAATCTCCATTAACTGTGTTCATGTCTTCTGTTTTTCTGTGTTCTTTTTGTAGGTGGAGTGACCCGAATGACTGTGTCACTAGTGGTCATTATGTTTGAGCTCACTGGTGGACTGGAATACATAGTTCCTCTGATGGCAGCAGCCATGACCAGCAAGTGGGTGGCAGATGCTATTGGGCGGGAGGGCATTTACGATGCCCACATACGCCTCAATGGCTATCCTTTCCTGGAAGCCAAGGAGGAGTTCTCACACAAGACACTTGCAATGGATGTAATGAGGCCACGGAGGAGTGATCCTCCTCTGACTGTCATCACTCAGGACAGCATGACAGTAGAAGACATTGAGACCATAATCAATGAAACCACATACAGTGGCTATCCAGTGGTGGTGTCACGGGAGTCCCAAAGGCTTGTTGGATTTGTCCTCAGGAGAGACCTCATCATTTCAATTGGTATGTGCGAGGAAGCAAGGTGCTCTACAGATAAATGGTGCAGAGTGCAGTTTGAGGCCTTCAAGTAGCACCAACTCTTAATTTACTTCACAGATTTGAGTCAGTAGTGATGGTGGCTGTACTTACATGACCTGCATCTCCATCTCCCAGCATTGTGGGGTTTGCTTGCATTGAGCGTGAAGGACAGTGTGGCTTGACCAGTGCAGTTAGTATGGCTGTGCTGAATTCATAAACTTTGTGAAACATGAGGTGTCTTGAGCCCTGTGGTGTGTTCTCCAGTGTGTGGTTTAATGCACTGTTGTAACACAAGCTTGATGTCTGTTGTATGGATGGTGAGAAGTTTTGTAACACAAGCTTGATGTCTGTTGTATGGATGGTGAGAAGTTTTGGTTCCTGAGCTGGCTATATGCTAGGGCAGAGGTAAAATACTTCTTGTAATAAGTTGCCTACAGCTGTGACTCAACCTTATGTGTTCTTCTAAGGTAAGTTTTCAGTCTCAGAACATACAGCACATTATTTTGGAGCACTCAAGTATTGCTCTTCTGATACATATATGGCCAAATGCTTATGATCAAGTGGAATAAAATACAGAAAAAGTGCAGTAGCATATAATTATGGACATTTCCTTTGTTTTGTCAGGCTGTTCTGTGGTGTGACCATGAATTCGTGGGTTTGTGTTATTCTGAGTCTCTTGGGAATCCTTTAAAAATAATATTTTCCGCAGGATGCGTAGAAAATGGGATTTTGCTTTTGACAGCCTGCTTTGAATATCAAGTCTGGTGTTTTGGATGCCAAGTTATTCCCTGCCCAGTGAGTCTTGGAATGTAAATATCAAATTGAAACAGCAATACAGCAGACATCCAAATTGTCCAAGTAGCAGGATTAGGCAGTAATGCACTAGTGTGAATATCTGAGTAGCATCAGGTTCTTGACACCATGTTGATGGCTTTTTTTTTTCCTTTTTTTTTTTTTTCCTATTCTTGGTTCTGGTTAGGAAGTGTGGAGTCTAAGCCATTAGGTTATACACTTAAAAATACTTCTTTAGCTGCCCTGCTGGGACCCACAGCAGTGACTGGTAAAAGGACAAATCACTTTATTTACCTGCTCTTAAACTGGTGAGTTAAAGATCTCCAGGACTTGCATTTATATGACAGTTATCACCGTGCATGTCCTCTGAATGGAAATCATATGCAGCAGTTACTATTTCTGGAGGTGAAAATATGCTGTCTCTAAAAGTTTGTGTCCTTTTGGCTGGAGCAAAATGCTGAAATACACAGGCTTGACATTAAGCAAAGCCCTGTAACGTGGTGTGCTGAGCTTACCCTTATGGTGAGGCTTTGAAGTCCTTAGAGAATAGAAAGGAGGATGGAATCATGTCACCACTTGGGTCATTAGGTATGAGTCTTGAGTAACTTAAATGGACTTCTAAGGCCATCTCAGTGTGGCAAAGAGAAAAATGTATGCCCTTCAATTTAGAAAAGAGGCATGATATTTAATCAAATATTTCTTCTTTCAGAAAATGCCCGGAAGAAGCAGGATGGAATTGTTAGCACTTCAATTATTTATTTCACTGACCACTCTCCTCCACTGCCTCCAAGCTCCCCCTCAATGCTGAAACTCAGGAGCATCCTGGACCTCAGTCCTTTCACAGTGACAGACCAAACACCTATGGAGATTGTTGTGGATATATTTCGCAAGCTTGGATTGCGCCAGTGCCTCGTTACTCACAATGGGTAAGAAGGTAGCCCTGGGCCTGAGGTCCCAATGGGTCGTGCTGGATTAGTTAAGGTCATTGAGGTGTTCTGCTCAACTTTGGCAGAAAAACTCCATGCAGGAGTGTAAGAGTTCATTGGGTTTGGATCTAGATGATCTTTAAAGGTCCCTTCCAGCTCAAACCATTCAATGATTAAACTTCCAGATCTGAATCAGAACCTCTTCTTTAAGAAAACAGAGGCCTCTAGTATGTAGAGATAAGCATTCCTCTAGGCAAAAAGGATCTGGAAAGAAAAAGCTGTGAACCCTTGAACCTCTTTCAGTTGAAACAGTAACTGTGAGCTAGTGAAATGGTCAGACACAGCTCAGAATAGGTTTGATATACCTAAAATTAATGAAAAGCTCTCAGCCTTTTGTTACAAATCTGGTGATGTGTATCACGTTATCTCTTGAAATCACTGTGGTATCAATTCTGAAGCAGTGTGCTTGGCGAGGTGGGAAGGAATAGGAGCCAACAATTAAAACAAGCAATCTGCTCCTTGAAGAACCAAAGTAAAGAGGAGTTCTCTCCCTGTCCTTTGCTGTCCCTTGCTGTGGTGCAGTTGGACCAGTTGTTCTTTCCAGTTTCTGACAGAAAATAGCATTGTTAAGCAACCCTTCCCAGCAGAAGTTGTCGTAGTTCCTATCGTGACTGTTCCAACCACTATGCTTTGGAAACTGAGCTGCTGAGAGAAGCAACACTTAAAATGCAATCCTAGATGTTCAGGTCCATCTGTTTGGAGGAGGCAGGTAGGTGTTAATAAAAATCATTAGCATGTCTTGGTAAAGTGTCTGCTGGTGCTGACGAGTACCATATTTTGCATGAAGTTTCAGTGTTGGATCCACATAAGTACTTCAGCTACTGCAATACGTTATAGTTGCTGTAGGAGAAGTTATGCAAGAGCAAGAATACATTCCTTGGGTGCTGATGCATTAAAAATGTGTTTTCATTTTTTAGGAAACTGCTTGGGATCATTACCAAGAAGGATGTACTAAAGCACATTGCACAGCTGGCTAACCAGGACCCAGATTCTATACTCTTCAATTAAAGGCAGACTAGTAGGTATTGTGTTAAACACAAAAGATACTTTATAGAAGATTCTGGATATTCTCTCCTATTTTTATTGAGACCTTGGAACTATTTTCAGCATTTCCTTCCATGGAGCTGAAGATTTTTTTTTTCTACATGATAACCAATTGCACTACGTAGTCTGTGGAAAAATAATCTTCTTTTTAGAAGAAAAAAAGACTATTTACATTGCTTTTGTGAAGTTGCATTGGAAAGATTCCATGAAGGAGTAAAAGCAAAGTGCTACAGAATTATATATCTTCTTGTTATTTTATTTGAACTCTTGTTACTAATGTGGATAGGGGAAGACAAGGTTTATACCTTCTGGAACTTTGAAGGAGGATGATTTTGCACACAGTATTCAGGTGGTGGCAGAACGATACAGTTGTAACTCAGGGGCAGTGTATTCCCAATTAGTTACTTAGTGAAAATAAGAACCTGGTAAAATAAAAGAAAGAACAAGAACACACAAGCAAACAAAATATGCTGGAAAACACCCTTATAAAATGATAAGTGGCTCTGTAAGTAACCCCATACAAGAGCTTAACTCCTCAGTAATCTCTATTGGCTTGCTGATGATATTTCGCTGAAAGAAGGAGAAAAACCAAATCTCGAGGTGACCAATCTTCATGAAATTGGGTTTGGTTTCTGATTGGGAAGAAGTTTATTTTGATTAATCTTCTGTGAATGTATTTAATTATTCTCCAATGCTGGCTTGCTAGGAGAATCCAGAGGAGGCAGCAGGAGGAGTTAGTAGTTGTATTCTTGTCATCATCTCTATTTTGATATATGCCTAAGGATTTCTTCTTGATTTTTCTTGAGCATGTAATTAAAATTGCAAAGACTGAATCCTGAAGCCTTGGCTTTACTGCACTTCCAAGTAAACTTTGATCATATTAGATGTTGCACAATTGACCTCTTCCTTAATCAGCAGTGTCTTATGTTGCTGAGGATGTCTTAATGGAGACTCCTGAGCCTGGGATGTTTACGTGGATGCATTTTCTGTTCCCTGCTCCTCTCCTCAGCCCTGCACCAAACTCAGGCTTGGATCCTGGCTCTAGGATGGAGAACACTGCCACTTTATGTATGTTCACCGCTCAGTGTCTCATTTTACCAACAACTATGCAATAAAAACCTTTCCTGACCACTATCAGCAACGTAACTTGTTCCTGAGTTGCTCTATTCCAAGTCTGTGCTTCTCAAATCTTTGTTCAAATTCATTTTCTGTTAATAAGTTTACTGGAATTTTTAAGGTATATAAATGCCTTTGAAGGTTATTATATTCATAATGGATTCTGTCTGTAGCAGACTTCATTTCACTATCTGTGGCTGAGGCTTGTTAGTGAAAATAGAGCTCACCACTGTCAGTGCATCTGGCAGGAGCTGAGCTGTTTGGTACTGGCCAGGGATTAAGGGCTGTGAGGAATCTGACTGTGCTTCCTGATGGACAGACATAAGCAGGTGTTACGTTTTGCACAGCCTCAGCCCCAGAGGCCCTGGTGCCAGCTGCTCAGCCCACGCTGGGGCTGCAGGGTGAGGCTAAGGTGTGGTGGCAGGAGGTGATGGGTTGTCATTATAAGGCCACTGATGCTGCAAGGTAATGCTGTTTGGTGGGCAGGTGGGGCTCCTGGCTACAAGTGGCTGGCAACATTCTCAGCTTTAAACTCACTTAGATATAAACCAAGTCCTCGCCTGTACTTGAAATAGAAGGCAGCCCATTTCTCTAACAGCATTTGATGCTGGACTTGGTCACTGTGCTGAGTCTCCTGATCAGGGAGGGGAAAGGAGGAACTACTTGTGGGAGGGCAGCAGTAGCCTTAGTCCTGTGTGCCAGGAGGGCAGAGGAGGTGCTGACAGGAAATCCCAGTTGTGGGCTGGAGTTGTCACAGCTGCCTGGTGCTTTAATCCCCAGCAGAGAAGCTGTTGTGGAAGCTGGCAGGGCAGTGAGCACAGGCTGTCAGAGCTGACCACACAGCCCAGCTGTCCTGAGAGGCTGGGAGCATTTGAAATGCAAACATCACATTGGCATCAGACCAGTTTGTTGGGCTTGTGGTAAGATTTTGGTAGCAGAGAGGTTGCTGTGAGCAGACCAGGAGCTGTGGCACATTAGATAAGAGCTGACTCCACAAGAGACCACTGCTGGCCAGAGCTGAGCCATGCTTGGTTCTCCAGCTGTGCTCTCCTGTGTGCAGGTAGTTCCTCCGAGCTGTCAGCTGAGCCCAGGGAGGACAGGATTGCCTGATAAGCTGCAGATGGAATTCATTCCAGGATTTCTGAAGGTGATGATTTGGGTGGAGTGGGGGCAAAGAGCCATCGGTGTGCCTGTCACGTGGCTTCCTAGCATGGGGAGCTGCCCAGAGGAGGTTGACCTGAAAAAATTGTGCCCAGGAAGGTGAGAGGGAGGGAAAACACACTGAATCAGTGGGAAGGCCTGGAAGAGCTGCATTTTAGAGAAACCAAGTCCTCATGAAGCCAAACCAAACATGAAGAAGGTGAGCAAATAAAAAGGTTTTGCAATGTTAAGAGGTTTTGTTTTGCTGGCTTTGGTGAAGAGAGAAGCTGCCTCTTGCCTGAGCATAGTTTACCACTCGTGCATCATTTCTTGTGAATACACAGTTTAAAGAGCAGGCGTCTGGCGTATGGGAGCCAGGTGAAAATAGAAGCTCAGGACCATTTTGTAGCCTACTCTCAGAGAAAACCTACTGACCACATACAGACCAGTGGAAATTGTGTCCATGTAATGAAAATATTTATTCCAGCTCCAGACCTCTCTCTGAGATGTGGTTTTCTACATGGAAACTTGCAGCAAAACTACGTGGTCAATATTATTCCACTGGGTGCAGCAGTGATGCCAGAACACAGGGCTCATGGGGGGTTTTGCTGGGATGGGTGTATAGCTCCATACTGGGGCTGATGCCTTGGTAAAGCTGATGCCTGTTACAGAGGCTCCTGGCTGTTTGGTGCCAGCTTTTATTTAATGGAGTGCCCATCACTTAAATTCCTATCAGAATGAGTTAAACTTTCATCAGAAATTCTGTGCAGGGCAGAAATTTATGCTCAGTTTTATTGAGCTGAAGCATTTTCTATGTTGATCATAATCATGCTGGCTTGGAAATAGGTTTCCCTGCCCAGGGAAGTTGTAGGGGCTGAGAAGGGTTTTGCCCTGTGCAGTTCTTGCTGTTGTGTTGTTTTGCTTTCAGAGAAGACTCCAGGAGGAGCCCTAGAGTTTCCAGGAAACGGCTCATTATTCAGATCATAGCTGGAGGCTGTTCAGGGAGGGATTTGATAAGTGGTTTTATAAATCCATACCCTTGACGAAAGAAACCAAGCCTATAAGTTCAGCAGCTAAGCAAGAAATGTGATGCTGTTTTCCCTGTAAACAGGGCTGGTTCAAAGAGCCCCCTGCTTCCTCCAGCTGCTCGAATCTGCGTCGCTGAAGGAAATAGGTTTGCTGTGTTTCATTTGCCTCTTGCAAAGGCTTAGCAGATTCACAGCGATGAGCCCCTCTTTGTGAGAGCAGAGCTGTGCTGTGGGATGCACAGGGAGGGGGGCATGGAGTGTAGGAGGAGCTGTGGGGATTCCTGTGCCTGGCTTTGTGCGATAGCAGGGCTGTAACCTCGTAACCTGCATGCGCTTTCTCTTTGTGCACTTTATTTACAGTGTTCCAAGAAATGATTTCCTGGGGTGTTGGCGTGTTTTTCAGTGTTGATTTCCTCCTTACCTCAGAACTCGTTCTGGGCTTGGGACTTGAAAGTAAAAGCAGATCTTGTTTGGAATGGAACAAAGGACTTGGTTGTAGCGATGAACTGTTCAGTATCAACAGCAAAAAAAAAATAATAGCAATTTCAGCCCCAGAACGTATTTAGAGATAAAGGGCAATGAGGCTACCTTTGTAAAGGTCCTGGTCTGTCTGGCAAGTTTGTCTGAGCTGTGTGTGCAGCCACACAATGAGCTGAGAGCAGAGCTTCAAGACAGCGAAGAGAAGACCTTACTTTGGCAGCGCTACAAGGAAGGAATATGTGTCCAGATCAAATAAACACAGTGAAGCCATGAGAATTAAGGTCATCCTGAGTATGTTATTAGAGCTGTCATTCTGTCCCCCCATATTTCTTAAGGCATCGGAAAAGGGCAGGAGAGGCTTCTGAAATGCCAACTGGCAGACTGCTCACAGCAGGCTGTGGTGCAGGGGGTTGTGGTGGGGGAAGGGGTCTGTGCTGGTGCAATGGTGGGTTTACTCAGTGAAAGTTTTTGGAGTGTTTTCAAGAGTGCTTCAGTTTGAGGTGCAGGGTTTTTCTGTGCAGGTTTGCACTGTGACGGCAGAAACCTGAAGTGGCACTCGTGGAGAGTGTCTGTGCTAGTCCTTCTGCCTTTGGAATGGGAAAGGCACGTTTCTTTTCCATTACTGGAGTACTTTTGTAACTGGGCTGCTGGCAGTGAGGTTTAGCAGCAATCCTTTTCCCAGCAGCCGTGGTTTCCCCATGGAGGCACAGGCAGGCACGCAGCCGGCACCTGCCCAACATTGCCCCTGCTCTGCAGGAGGAAATCGCTGCTGGGCAAAGTAACACCGCCACAGGCAAGCAAATGACTAATGGTACAGATGGTATTATGTATGTGCTGCTAGGTGGTAAATGATCTGCGTGTTTATCCAGGCACACAGTGTATACAGGTATGTGTAGGATTTTTGGTGTAAAATCTGTGACACGGGGTCAATCAAGGTTTTTGGCTGGTGTTGACAGTGGCACCAGGAGTAGGCCCTGAAGCAGATGAGATCTGGTGATAACAAATGCTTGCTAATAACATCACTTTGGGTTGGTGGACTGAGAAGCAGAGAGGGTCAATTGGACCATGCTGCTGATGGCTGCTGCAGCTTTCCATGACTGTAATGCGTGAAGGGAAGGCTGGAGCGCCTGGGCAAAGTTACTGTTGCTTTTCCAGAGACAGCAGAAACAGCTGGCCCATGTCCCTGCTCCCTGAGCTCCGGGCTGTCAGTGCTGGCAAAGGCAGTGAGACAGCCCAGGGCCCTGGGGAGGTAAAGCAGCGTGGGGACTCCTCCATCAGATCCTGGTCTCCTGCAGTGTGTGGCTGCAGGCCTGGTCTACCCAACAGCTTCAGTGGTGCTATTGGCAACGGCTCCATTTCTGGGGGATGCTTCCAACCCTCTCCCTATGGCTGAGCCCTGTGGAGCGCGCACACAAGCATTGGAAAAGCTGCAGAGCCATAGATGTTGCAGAGCAGAGACCTTGACAGTCCCAAACCAGAGCCAAGCTACACCCTATTGTGCTAGTTACCTGTGTTCTCCTGACCAGTTTCTCTCATTGCACAGTACTGCCTGGCTCTCGCCACTCTGGTGAGGCTGCCAGCTGGCCATGCAGTTTATCTTCTACAAAAGCATCCAGTGGACAGTGCAGTAGCCCCTTGCCTCACTTGGCACTCGGCTGTCCCAGGTCATGCAACAGGAAGATTTACCTGGAGTGCTGTCAGTTCCTGGATGCTGCATGAAAAACAATAATCTAGCTACCCCTCCGTGCTGGGGGAAAGCTCAGCTATGTTTCACAGACAACTTTTGAACCACCTGCTCTGTTTCCTGGCAGAGCCCTGGGAGGCTGATTGCTGCTGCTGCTCACCAAGCTCATGCAAAGATGAGAACTGCAAGGTACTTTTTGAAGGAAGGGCTTTTAACTAGCACCAGAAATCAACTAGACTGAATGATGCAATGAGGGCTGCTGTGTTTGGGGATCTTCGCATAACAGTCTTATGCGTAATCCAGCTGGACTGCAGGCCTCAGTATTTTGTTTGTGTTGGACAAGAGCAAAACATGACTAAGATGCAGCACCGCCAAGCCTCGCCTCCTGCACAGCGCCAGGGAGAGGCTGCTGGGGCTGGAGCAGGGCTGCACCCCTCTGAGCCCTGCCTGGACACAGCAGAGGGAAAGGGACATGTTGGGTGTGGAGGGTGCTGGGTGCAGAGCAGAGCTGTCAGGCAGAGAACAGTGCATTAGGGGCCAGGTGATGCAGAGCAGGCAGGGTGGAGGAGGGAAGCATGGGTTACCAGACCACAGGATTGCTGCTGGGCAGTTTTTTTGTTATCAGCCTCTTTTCCTTGGCCTGGCAGGGTAGGGGAGAGGGAGGTAAACATCTTCTGCTTGTGGGG